AAGTGCGCCATCGTGAAAGGGTTAAATGCAGGGGTCTTTTTATGACGTTTAGTTGCAATCTCACTTCTAGACTAGAACTTTGTTCAATGGCAGTGAATTTTGAACAGGAATTACAGGATTGCCACGCTACCTGGAAAACCGGAAAAAGTCAGGGAATTCGTAAATTGACCAAAAAATTCAGGGAATTTAAGTGTTTTAGTCAAAATCTGGAAAAGTCAGGGAATTTCATACAACGATTCCGCCAAAAAAGGGGAGTTTTGCGCCGACGTCGGAAGAGATCACTTTTTTGGCGAATTGTGTATCACGTGAGTGTCATTCGGGCAGCTGGCATAGAGCCAGTTTTCGCAGCTCCAATTTGATTGTCTTTTTAGAAAGGCAAAGCAAGTTCCCCGCAACTTTTGGTTTCCAGTAACCTCGAGAATCGCATGTGCAGTGCATGAACTAAAGAAAGTACATGTTCTCGTATAAAACAAAATGGGTTTAATCCTAGTATACGGTACCATGAAGGTTAGAATTAAAAAATATGTATTGTAAAGAAGGAAAACCTCTCTGCAACAGACGTGGCTCGGTTCCATCACAGCGAGAAACAGCTGTGCATGTGCGATATATCTGTCGCCAAAGCTCGAAACCGGTGTCGAAGTTCGAAGGTGACTTTATCGCGAGTTCATAAAATTAATATCGTTTAAAATGTCTTTAAACTCTAAAGGAAAAGAAAATATTTTTTGGCGCAAGTAAATTAATTCATGGATTAGTTATTTTGACGGGGAAAAAAAAATCTACGAAAATCCGTTTTTAAAATTATTGCGAAAAATCCAAGAAAAAACGTTCTTTGATAAAACGTTTCTTCTTGGATTTTTCGCTCCTGTGGTTGTTAACTATTGTTATGATACTAGGGACCCCAATTTCAGTAAGCGCCCAAGGGCGATCCTAAATGTTAGTAATGTGTAATTTTGTATATGTGTTATGCAAATTGTTGCTCAAATTCTTTATTGTATATTGTTCTTTTTAAAAAATAGTTAATTATGTATGGATTAGTAATTAGGTACTTAAGGAAAAAATATGTATTTAACTATTAGCAATTATGAATTTAAACTCTTGCTCATTTAATTATTTAGCACATTCAGTTACATTTCTCATAATTCGAAACTTTTATCATGTTATTCGATGAGGGGTAGGGCTATGGCGCCCAGGCACCCTGGTGGTTAAGCACCGCAGTTCAACTCAGTATCTTGGATTTTTCGCAATAACTTAAAAACGCATTTTCGTAGTTTTCTTTTTTGTCAAAGAACGTTTCTTCTTAACACGTGTTTTTCAATTTCCTGTACACATCGCGGAGAGGGAAATTCTGGCCGTTCCGTCGTCAAATACCTTGGGAAATTTTCCCTCCGCTTTTTACATGACGTTCTTTGATCAGAATAATCTCCATGTATGGTACAGAGGGATTTGGCGACATGATGATGAGCAGTAAATGGGTCATTTTGTTCTTGGCGACAATTTTCAAAATCATGCGAAGGCCGTATTGTAAACTAGGATTTTACCACAAAATCTTTTTTTTTTTTTTTTTTTCTTTTCTTTTTAATAAATACCTTGTCATTTTGGCAGTAAAATAAAAAAATAGTAATCAATTATCTAGGATAACCATGTAATATAACTATATTCGCTAAAATATCGTTGATTATTCTAATTAAATTATCTTTATTTTTATGTTATTCATATCATTTAATGTTGCTTCTTCCCTCTAAATTTATTTATCATTAGTAAATAATATTTCCAAATTTCAGGAAATTTTCTCTGGCATAATCCTGAAATTAATTCTAGTAGTATGATGACATCACGAAATTTAATGCACATATTTTTTCCTTTTGTATGCTGTGAAATAAATATAAAATATCTCAATTTAGTAAAAAAATATCATTAAATAGATTTCTTTCTTTCGTTTAGCTGCAAAATGTCTGCAAAAAAAGCCTTATTTTATTCCAGATTGGGCAGATTCTAATTTCAATCTTCAGTGGAGAAAACAACTCCTATTATAATTATATTTGTGTTTTCAACTGTTAAGGTGCCTTTTAAGAATACACCTCACACAAATTAAATTTACCTAAAATCTAGCCTAACTTTTAGCATTGCGTTGTAATTTATAAGAACTGGATTAGCCTCTTGTTGAACTGGGGATGATCATGAGTAATAATTAAATAAAACGTACATTTGTTATCCAATGTATATATCTTAAATTTTATCAAGTTTTTTAAGCGGAAAAGTAAACAAAATTATCAAACAAAGTGTACCAAGAATAATTAAGAATAAATGTCCTCTGGGATTTTTGAATAATTAAGTGAATTTGCTACACAGTACAATCTTTCTTTTCAAACATAATTAATTTACCTCTTAGCAGAGCCAACGTACATTATGCGGATAGACTAGAATTTTCTCGAAACATACCTGGAAAACCTGGAAAAGTCAGGGAATTTCATTCTTCTCTTTGAGTGGCAACCCTGGAATTAGCAAGTTTCAGATGAAGCTTGTATAGCTCAAATTAAATTTTGAATGACTGCTGAAAGTCTGCAAGAATGGTTTGAAAGACAGATGATTCTGTGTCATAAAGGTACAGTGGATGGACAAAAATATGGAAACACCTTGTGAAATGCATGTTTGAAAAGAAAAATTGATTTTAATGAAATATGTAGGTAGCGCTGGCGTTTTTGACTACTGACGCCACCTATACAACTTCGTAAATGTTCTAAACAGTTCAGTTGTTGTCGGAGTACTGTTATGTGAGGTTTTCATTGCATTATGTAAGAGTTAACAGACTTCGAACATGGGCAAATTGTTGGAGCGCGTATGGTAGGTGCTTCCGTAAGCAAGGTAGCCGAGGTGTTTAGTGTTTCAAGAGGTACTGTATCGAAGATTTTTTCCGCATATTTGAAAAGCGGAAAAACATCATCTGCTAAATCACAGCGCGGACGAAAGTGTGTCCTGAGTGATCGTGACAGACGATCATTAAGGGCAATTGTGACAAAAAATAAGAAGACCACAGCTGCAAAAGTTACTGCTGAAATGAATGTTGTGTTACCGAACCCTGTGATTACCAAAACAATTAGAAGGGAGCTTCATAAACAGGGAATGGCTGGCCGTGCTGCAATTGAGAAGCCACTCATCAGTGATGCTAATGCCCGTAACAGGAAAAGGTGGTGTTTAAGTCATAAAGCCTGGACTATAGAGCAGTGGAAGTGAGTAATATGGTCTAACGAGTCTTCTTTCACATTGTTTCCCACTTCTGGCCGAGTTTACGTCTGGAGAACGCCATCGCAAGCCTATAATACAGACTGCTTGTTGCCAAGAGTGAAACATGGCGGGGGTTCTGTTATGGTTTGGGCAGCCATATTGTGGTTCTCTGCTAACCCCATGATAACTGTGTCAGGGCACATGACTGCCAAGACTTATGTGAACATTTTGGCCGATCAAGTTCATCCCATGGTACAAACTTTGTTCCCCAATGGTGATGGTGTTTTCCAAGACAACAAAGCCCCTGTTCACAGAGCTCACATTGTCCAGGACTGGTTTTCTGAGCCCGAGGATGAGTTGTCCCATCTCCTCTGGCCACCACAGTCACCAGACCTGAATATTATCGAACCTTTGTGGTCTACATTGGAACGGAAAGTGCGTTCTCGTTATCCACTGCCAACATCGTTATCTGAACTTGCCACAGTTTTGCAGGAAGAATGGTATAATATTTCCTTGGCAAACATACAGGAACTGTATTTATCCATTCCAAGAAGACTGCAAGCTGTTTTGGATGCCAACGGGTTTCCTACACCATATTAAGCAAAGAAACATGTTTTTTTAAAGGTGTTTCCATATTTTTGTCCAACCCCTGTAACTTGCTATAGCAAGGGAGAGTATTGCATTAGCAGTGGCTGCCTTAAAGTGCTCATGGGCATTTTCTTTCTTTTCTCCACATGTAATGTATAAACGAGCCATTTTCGCTTACAAAGTCCTTCACGAGAGCATTCTCTTTAGGCAGATAGTCCACGAGTGCTTTGCCATAATCAAATAAACCAAACCAGTCTGTGGCTGCTTTAGATATATTTCAAGGGCCTGTATTCATGTATTTCTGACAGCCTCTGCAACTTTCAGATTTTAAGTCTTATTGAGTAATGGATAATTTCTTCACATCCTAGTTTTGTTCCAATTTTTCTCTGTTATGCCATGTGTAATTTGCATAAAAATGCTGAAATATAATTTTTACAAAGAGAAGCATATGCTTGTCCAAATGTCAGCCAACAGTTATAATTAATTCTATTCCCTCCCATCTGCTTCCATCGTGAATTTAGGTTTTACTGTGGCTTTGTAATACTGTCTTTTCTAAAATGTGTGTATGTGCAAAAAGTAGAATTAAAAATCGATGAAGTACAGTTATTCGACATGTTTTTCATTTTGCAAGTGGCTAACCAGTCTCTAAGTGGATAAGGGTAATGAAATATTGGTAGGTTACCTTGTTTTTATTCATAGCAGTGCCTTTAGAACTAGGAAATTTCTGGTGGATATTTAAACTTCTGGTTGTGAGATCTGTCTGTTTATGTGCTAGACATTTTCATTTCTGTAAGCAGCATATTCTTTCATTAGCTGATTTGTAAAATAAGTAGCGTGTATTCTCTCTGTATGTATGTCTATTGCCCCATCATATTTAAATTTCATGGATTTTGCTGTAGACCAAGGGTACTGAACCAAGGCAGTATTTCATAGTTTCAGGGGGGGTCAGCCTTTTAGTTAAAAAATTGCTTTTATTCAAGTTTAGCTATTTACTAGTATTTTCTATACTTTTTTATGTTAAATTTATAAAGCATGTTAGAAGTAAAGGTATAGAACCATTGCTGTAGACTTCCTTTTCATAATTCTTTTTAATAAAGAGTATGTGAAAGAATATACGTCTTCAGCAAACTTTTATTTGAAATCTTGAACAGTGCATTGTAATTTATTTTTGGAAAAAAAACATTTTTTAGGGCCTGAAGGAGCTAACCTCTTCATATACCATTTGCCTCAAGAGTTTACTGACTCAGATTTAGCGCAAACTTTCGCACCTTTTGGAAATGTCATTTCTGCAAAAGTGTTCATTGATAAACAGACAAACCTCAGCAAGTGTTTCGGTAAGCATAAAGATTTATTATTTTAATTCATGTCCTTGGTGTTAGCAAAGTACGAAAATAAAAATGATAATAGAGAGTAGGTTTTAAAAGGCCAAAGTTTCAAAAATTAAATAAATAAAAATTTTAATGACAAATAATCATGAAAAAAAATCATGAATTTCCCATATACATTTAAATATTGAAGTACTTATGGAGTAAAAGGTATTTATAAATTTCATTGTGTCCTTTATTCAATTTTATGTATTTTGTTACATTTAATCAATTTTATTTAAAGCAATTTTTTTGGAGCTTATGCCCCTAAATTTCCAATTAGGTAAATACTGATATGCTGTGACAGATCAATAAAAATGAAAAACATTTGAATTAAGTATTTTTAAGGGTCATAGAAATTAGGTGAAATTTGCTGAAATATAATAAGTGTCTGCTGGAAAAAAACGTGATAGATGTTGTTCTAGATGCCATTACTTTTTTATGTGCTGCGTATATTGAGAGCAGTAGTATTGAGATGTTATTCATGACCAAAGCTTAGTAATAATAAATTTTTCTAGTACTTCTGTCCTAACATAGAAAAAGCATTACTCAATTCTTGTAAATTTATTGTCGTCTGTTTATTCTTCTGTTTTTGAAAACAATTCACTGCTTTCTGCTTCTGTCTGGAAATAAAGTTACAAAGTTTGAGATCCAGAATCATTAAGGGCTTTAGTCGCAATTCTGGATTTTTACCCGCAAGTGAGTTTGCTGGGTCCAGTGGACCCGCACGATTAAACAAACCTTTCTCAAAGCGCGACTAAGTTACGCAAATTGTTGAGATCCAGTGTAGTCGTGTCTGAAGTCGACCTCATTATGTTTTTGAATTTTTTTTTTTACTAGGGCTTTAATTTGGAGCCTTTATTTTGATCGGATTATTAGCGCACTTATTCATATTACTGTTATGTAGTTCATTTGTGGTAGTATAGAAAGCGGCAAACATGTTGCATAATTTATCTTTCAAGGAAACAATGTTGTAAAAGTTATTAGATGTATCAACTGGCAAAGAATGTATCAAAGAAAATGGAAGTGATCAGGAATTTTTAGTTCACATTATGCTGATTCTGAAAATGAGAGCAAGAATGACTTGGTTGCTTTATTAGGAAAACATTACCGGAAACGGGGGGGGGGGGGAAGAAAAAGATGTCGTTTTTGCCCAAGGTAAAAAGCATAGAAAAATGAAAACGCGCTGAGCTGAATGTGAAAAATATTTTTATTTGGAACACATGACAACACTTTGTTCAATGTACTACTAATACTAACATTTGTTGTTGCATTTTGTCTCTGTGTCTATAGTGTTAATAAAGAAAATAAAAAACGTATACAGGGTAAAGGTATACTATTTTTTTTCTATGCTTAGCATAGGAAAAAAGTAGAATACCTGACTTCTGTATGTGTTCTTTATTTTCATATATAATATGATTTTCTATTCCTTTAACCCTCCAAGCGTTACGAGTTTAGCTCTGAAATTTTAAAGTTCCTCAAAATGTCATGAATAAATGGTATTTTCTTGAGTTTAATTTAAAAATTAATATCTCATTTTGTACCTTGATTCCTTTTCTTCCAATATACATCCAAACCGAAATCAAATACGTTAAATGTTAGCAGAAATTTTCATTTGTAATGAATATAGAAGGCAGCCTTCTATACGGAATTTTCCGGGCCGTAACGCTGTGAGGGTTAATACATTTTATTTCATAAAAGCATCTGGAGAAATTAAAAATTTTAATGTGCATAGTTTTTATGTTTTATTATTATTGGGATAGATAAAACACTTTTTTCTGAAGATCTACAATTTTTTGTTCCATTGTTCAAGTCTTGTAATTGGCATGTTGAGAAATCAGTTTAAACTTGATCAAAATCTTTTCATTCTCAAAAACATATCTGCCACTTTTCCTACTTTTGTTCATGATATTTTCTGGATTTAAAACCATACCTGTCAGTTAGTTGATCCTGATTGTGGAATTATCATCACAATGGAAAACTTCTGGTATATTATAATCATTTATTATCAGTTCTGTGCATATCTTTACAAATGTAGTAACATAAGTTTTGATTTCTGTAGCATTCGCAATCTACACACAAATGAGGTTATTGTTTTACCTAATTTTGAAATTGTGCCTTCTCATCAAAATTTTGGACCTTGTACTGTATTGTATATTTCAGCAAGTCTCAGTTTATAGTGATGCTAGATTTTTGGGAGGGGGAGGAGTAAGTATTACCATATGTTCACGAATAAGATATGCACCCGATTTTTTTGATGCGCCAAAAAAGAAAAAAAGTATGCGAATCTGGCGTGCACGCTTTCAGCAAACACACTAAAAGCTTAATTTACAGAAAGAAAACATTTTTTTTGTATTACGAGTGTAAAGAAACAAAGAAATATGATACTGATTGACGGTTATCGGGAAAGAAATCCTAGCTACTACCCGCAGCTTTTGCATCTCTTGCCTAAGTGCGTAGTAACATTGTATTAGTAACATTGTAATGGGAAGGAAGTTGGTTAGTAGAATTTAATTATGCAGTAGAAAGAAAAAATTGCTAATCTAAGTATGTTATATAAAATTGTATTCATTAGACAATAGCTTCAGTAGGCAACAATCGCTGCGCTAAATAAGGATTTAAAACTCTCAAGTGATCCTTTCAAATCCACCATTAATGTAACAAAAGCAGATAACTTACACCATAGCACTCCTTTCCACTTTTTTCAGTCTGGAAATACAATGTAGATTGTCAATCTTCCTCTCCTGCACGGCTGTCATCACTGATGCTTTCCGAAGTGCTGGTATTCTCTTCTTCCTCATCATCTCACACTGCACAATCCTGACTTCCGTACATGCTATTTGATATTTCGCACTTATTGAAGCTCTTAGCAACAAGTTCTTATGAAGCTCCATCCCAGGCAGCTCTGATCCATCCACAGATTCGGCTTATTTCTGGCTTTTTGATGCGACCACTTGGTGTCAGTGTGTCACTTTCAGCAGGCCATCCATTCCATGTACATTCTTTTCAGTGCTGCTTTAAATGGGTGGTTAATCCATACACCTAGTGGCAGTATATCCTCCACAAATCCCTGGCCAGAATTTATTATTTGAGAGGGTGTAATAGCATCATTATAACGTTGTATTTTCTGGGGATACTGTAGCTTAAAAAAAAAAAAAAAAAAAAAAAAAAAAAAAAAAAGAAGCTGACCAACTTGCATTTACGAGGGCTATCCAGAAAGTAGATTACGTTTTGGAATAAAAAAATAAACAAAGTATAGGAAACAAATTTTATTATATACAGATGAAAGCCACACTCAAATACTACTTTTCTACATAGTCACCATACAAATTAAGGCATTTATCGTAGCGATGTACGAGCTTGGAAATTCATCGTCGAAAAATTCGGCCGCCTGCGCCTTCAACCACTTCGTTACCTCTTCTTGCAGCTGTGCGTCGTCATCAAAACGCTGCATAGCCAGCCACTTCTTCATTGCTGGGAATAGGTGGAAGTCGCTCGGTGCCAGGTCGGGACTGTACGGCGGATGAGGAAACAACTCCCACTTAAAAGATTCAAGAACTTTATGAGTGACATTTGCCGTGTGGGGCCGGGCGTTGTCGTGAATCAACAAGATCTTAGAGCTCAACATTCCTCTGCGCTTGTTTTGAATTGCTCTTCTGAGTTTTTGGAGAGTTTGGCAATACTTTTGAGAGTTTATTGTAGTGCCTCTTTCCAGGAAGTCCACCAAAATTACACCTTTTCTGTCCCAAAAAACAGTCGCCATCATCTTCCTTGCCGACATTGTTTGCATGCATTTCTTGGGTTTTTGGGGAGAACTTGTGTGCCCCCACTGCATTGATTGCAATTTCGTTTCACAGTTCACATGTTTCACCCATGTTTCGTCACCAGTAACGATGCGATCGAGTAAAGAGTCACCATCCTTATGGTAAGCGTCCAAAAAGTTCAACGCTGCAGCCATTCGCTGATTTTTGTGGTCCTCTGTCAAGATTTTTGGAATCCATCTTGCACAAAACTTGTGGTAACCAAGCTTTTCGCTGATGATTTCGTGCAACAAACTTCGCGAAATTTGTGGAAAACTCAAAGAAAGTTCCGTTATTGTGAAATTTCGATTTTCACGGACTTTAGCATCGACTTTTTCAAGAAGTTCGGCGGTCACTATGCTGGGTCTCCCACTTCGATCTCGATCTTCGTCGTGAACATTGGTTCGGCCATTTTGAAATCTTATGACCCACTGACGCACTCCACCTTCAGTGATAATGTTGTCCCCATACACTTCACGAAGCTGCCGATAGATTTCTATCGGTTTACAGTTTTTTGCAGTCAGAAACCTTATTACTGAGCGCACCTCGCAGCTCGCGGGATTTTCAATTAACGCAGACATTTCAAACCGTCACAGTATCTGAACGGAGCACAGCACGAACCTCTCACTAGCACGGCTAGATGCAGACTGAGCTGTGCAACGCTCTGACCCCAAGATGGCCACGCTAGCCCCGCCCCTAGCGGACACAGACGGAAACGTAATCTACTTCCTGGATGGCCCTCGTACAATTGCTTTGTTTCGTGTAAGCCACACCCCTCGATGTTTCCAATTAAAATTATATATATATATATATATATATATAAACCTCTGTGGTATTCGTGAACATACGGTATATAGTATAGTATAAAGCAGGGGTTGAGCAGACTTTTTCAGGGTACAGGCTACTTCTGATTTTTTTCAAATTGGTGCAGTCCACCAAGTGATGTAAGTGTGGTGAGCTAAAAAAAAGTCTACGATATTTATTGTAACTTAATATGGAATATGTACTTATTTACCTAACCCTTCCTAAAAAAAAACTTAAACTTATTCTTTTATAACCGCATTTAAAGCAAAACACCAAGTACAAATATAATAATAATAGTCACAAATGTAATAATTTCAAATGATTCAATTCTTATCAAACAATTCAAAATACATTAAAAAATAAATCGTCATCTAAAGTTATTTCTCGTAGGTATAGTTAGTTGAAGACTTAGTCTGAATACTGCCCACCAATCTTAAATATCTTGGTATATAATTACTAACTGCTAATCTTGCACTGGATTCTACGTAGTCATCTGTGAGATGGAAACGATATGTTGTCTTAATTATATTCATCATTGAAAATGCAGATTCACACTTGTAGGTAGACCAAAAGAATGATGTTAAATGAAATACAACTTTTTTAAAATTAGGAAACTTTACTTCGTCCATTAGACTCGAAAAGGTATTCTTCGGTTCTTGAACTATGTGGGCTTTTAAATTATGTCATTTTGAAGAAGAAAAACTTGTTTTCCTTAAGAGATAAAGAGAATATATAATTTATATTTTCAGTTATGTCTTCCACATCAACATTCCGAAATGGGTAATATGAATGTAACAGTTGGTTTTAGTCTAGTAAATTCTTAAAAACTGTCGATTTCGGAGTGAAGTTTCATTATTTCATCAGAATATTTCTCTTTATTTAATGTACTTCTGTTTTTAAACATTTTGTCAGAAATGTTTTTGAAATTTTTTAGTTCATCATTAACTGGGAAGATAGTAGCTTTAACCTGTTTTTAATTGTATTAACAAATCCAATCAATTCTTCTATTGTTTGATTTTTTTCCTTGTAGTTGTAAGTTGAAGTCATTAAGATGGCTTGTTATATAAACAACAAAAGCTAAAGCCATCAACCAAACGTCATCACTAAGTTCATCGTACGCTTTATCATTTGATTTCAAACTATCTTTTACCTCTTGTAGTAGGTCCCTGAATCTTTGTAAAAGTGTACTCTAGCTTAACCAATGAACATCTGCATAATATAACAAATCCCCATAATCATATTTGTTTTCTTCCTAGTTGGACTCAAAACATTTTTCTCTGAAGGCTTCTTCCTCAAATTTAGTTCACAGTTTTCATGCAGATTCCCATAACATGATGCATATTTAGAATTTTACAACAGAGGGCCTGTTGGTGAATAATGCAATGATAAAAAAGGAAATGCAATGTGTCATCCTCTCGAATACACGTAGCCAAAATTCTATTGACTATGCTGGTCATTGATGTGGTCCCATCAGTTGTCTTTGATACAACTTTATAAATTGGAATTTTTTTCTCCTCTATGCATTTTTTTGATGGCACAGTAAACAACTTCTCCTTGTGTTCTCTTCTTTAGAGGTAATATTTTGTTGTTCTTAATTCTTCTTTTACACTGATGTCCTTAAAAACCATGTTTGTAGATTCGTCAAACTGCAAGGAAAAGCAAATACAGCTAGTAATATCTTCTGTCAGCTGATCAGCCAAATAGAATTTACTGTTTCTGTATGCTGCATGACAATTTTACACAAAGTTGTACATCTTTAATTTCGAAAATAATTTCGTTTCTGTTATTGAATGAACCAAATAATAATTGCTGTCTTCTAGAATTTTTTATTTTTTAAGTTATTTCTCTATCTGCGAAAGATTTCTTATGTTTTGCTAACACACGACTCACATGAAAAGATGCATCTGTTGCAGCCTTAGGTATAGTATCGCGTTTAATAAAATGTAATTGTTGTCCGATTAACTGTGATTTAAATTCTTTTAACTTTTGTTTATGTAGTTCGTTTTTTAAAGAAAAATCTGTATCAAAACTTCCATGCATGCTTTTGAAATGCCTTTCAATGTTTCTTTTTGGAAGGGGGGCCGGGAACTGCTATGCTAGCATAACATATATAACACAGACATTTTGCATTCATCCATGTAAAGAAAAACTGTTCTTACCATTCTGTATTAAAATTGTATGTTTTCCTTTCCTTAACACTTTCTTTCGACATTGCACCACTCTTAAAATATGACAGATTACTATTTTTACTACGAAAACACAAGTAGCACAAAATTGTCAAGTTGAATGTTTTAGCGACTGCTAGATTGTGGAGTATGGACATATTCATTGCAGCGAGCAACGAACATACATGAACCGATGAATCTGACTGATGTAAGTACTTAAGCACCATCATGCACTTCCATTGAATTACATGTGTCATCTACACATTTGTTGAATCATTTGCTTAAGCAAAGACAATTGCATCAATTAAGCTGATTCTCCACTCTAGCTGACATCAGTGTTCCATAAATATGTTTCTTTTAGTATGCATGTCTTAGGTCTTAGTAAAGGTGGTTGCTCCAGAATGTGTTGGTGATCCACCTGTCATTTGTGATCAACTTAATGCCCACCCCTAGTATAAAGTAATCAACCTAAAACAAACTGAATAAAAATTTATTATATTCTGTGTGCACTTTACAAAATGAAATAAAGGTTATTTAGTTTTCTTTTTGCAACATCAATTTAAATAAAAATTGTCTTATGAGACATCTCTGGTAGTTATTGATCATTAATGAAATTTTAGTATCCTATGAAAAGCATAAGTTCTTCAGGTAAATTATTTTGTGCAGAATTGTGTTGAATAGATAGTAGGAATGCATTTATTAGTTTATTACATCTTTAAAAAAGTTTTTTTATTATAGTTTTAGAAAGGCTGAGAGAACTAATTAAAAAATTAAGTCTTGGAGTTAAAGTTTTAACTTCCTTTCGTAAGAAAAAGGATACTAATTAAAATGCATGCTCAAGGCAAAATCTTCTTTATTTAAAGTTATCATTTGTGCAAGGGTTACATGTTAAAATATTTTGTTATAATTTTTGCAGTTTCAAGCACAAGTATGTGAATTAATAGTTTCAACTGTGTTCAGATCTATATTTGCATTTTTAAAAACAGAAATTTCTTATTTGCATGGCAACATCTTATATATGTGTGGGGTGTTTAGTAAACTGCAGTTTTGTCTGCAGCTTCATTAGATATATATGTTAAAAAAAATATACATTATTACATACAGAAACTAATTGTAAATATTTTCAAAATATCTTGGGGATCAAAAATTGTAAAACAGTATAAAATTAATTTTTTTAATTATCTAGATTTTTGAAAAATGTATATTAAGTATTGTAATCTTGAAAAATTTCAGGTATCATATTTCAATGAGAATATCCTTTTCGACTGTTCTTGATTCCATTTGAACGATGTTTTTGCATTATATCTGTATGTACTTACAGAATAAAGGACTCTTTTTCCCAAAATGAATTGTGAAATGGATTTAAGATGGATTCAAAAGAGATTTTTTGTGACGTCTGTACGTAATCTCGCATAACTCAAAAACGAGCAGTCTCAGAACGTTGAAAATTTGTATATGGAACCCCTATAACATGTAGATATATATGCACTTTCCTTTTTGGTTGCAATCGGCTGTACCAAAAGTATATAAATATATGTATCCACTGTGATACCCAATTAGATGAGCTAAGATTTTTATTATTATATGTTGGTAAATTGTGCATTTTTTGCTTTAAAGTGATCAAATTATATTTATTGCTCTTATGTTTCAGTTAAGGTTTTTATGCCTTTAATTAATGTGCATTAAGTCAGTTTTTTTTTTTTTTTTCAACTTCAGTGTCTTTTGCCAAATGAGGCCAAAAGAAAACTTTCAGTTTTGTGGATTGAAAAATGTTTCTGCCTATTTTTAATTAATTTAAATTCTAATTTTAATTGGGAAAAATTGTTTTTTGATGGTTTTAAACTCTATTTGGTATTTTTTCTGTATTTTACAATTTTTATTGAAGATGTTTTGAGTTTTTATGCATTTTCTTTTTCTGCGAAATGAAACTGTTTATTGATGAGAAATGATATTATCTCTTAAATCGGCAAAATAAGTTTAATGAATGCCGCAAAATGTGTCTATTAATAGGCTGACAAGGATCATAGTCCACATTAGATGTTTTATAAATAAAATAGCACATTACTATTTTCTAAGATCTTCCTCTATGTATCAATTAAGACACATATATAAAGAATAGAATTTTTTTTTTTTTTTTTTAAATGTCAGAAAGGTTCTTAGTCCATAAACTAATATCCATTAAATCACTTTCCAGAAAAGGTTGTATCATTCTGAGATGTTAGTAAAATAATATTGAACTTGAAGTATCTGTTGTACAAATTTGTGCTACTTTTGAAAGAGTAAATGTTAAAAATAGAGTTATATTTTAGTTTATTTTATCATATAGGTTTTGTCAGCTATGATAACCCAAACAATGCCCAGGCTGCCATCCAGTCTATGAATGGTTTCCAGATCGGCATGAAACGGTTAAAGGTACAACTGAAACGTTCAAAAGATGCTAGCAAGCCATACTGAATACTGTGAATCGAGCTTGCACGCAGTTTTCCTATTAAGAAAGTGTGTGTATATTGGAAGAATTTTATCCTGTCATTATTTTTGTTTAATGCTGTGTTATAAAGTATATATTTCTGTTTTTAAAAGAAAGTATATATAAATAGTGTCCTGAAGCATCCATGAAATGGCATCTGCTGAAAATAGGTTCAGCATTTTTATTAAAAAAAAGAGTCACTGCATTGCCGTCTTCCTTGCTGCAAACTGTCGTGATACCATAACATTTCATTATAAATTCTGATTGGCAGTCATGTATATGGGAACCATTTTATCTCACAGTAAATGGCATTCAAATTATGGAAAGTTATTTAATAATTTAATTAGTAGTCTTTTTTACCATAAATGTATGTGGTAAAGTAATTGTAATTAAAATATATGCTTGACTACTTATTAGCACAGTTTAAATTCTAATAAGTAATATGTAACAAGTAATTCCTTAATAGGAAGACCAAATTGAGGGAGGGACTGTATCAGTAGTTCATCATAAAATATGCTAAGCTTTAAATTCTGTATCTTTCAACTCAAATGAAGTTCTTTCATTTTTATGTGTATTTGTATGTAAATATAACGAAAAAATTCAAAATAGTTTTTAGTAGAGATAATGAATGGATATTGAATTTAAAGAACTGCTTTTTGATGAACTGATATTTTGATGTTTTCTCACTGTATATATAAATTATAAACTAATATATGTTTTTATTAGATTTAAATGGAATTATAGCACGTATCCCCAAAATGTTGAATGTCATATGCATGTCATAGATAACAGCCTACAAAATTATTGACCTCAGCAGTGATCTAAATTTTTCTGAAGTCATTTTCTGTTTTTTTATAAGAATTTCAAGCTGATTGTATTTATGTACTTTCCTACCGTAGTTAGAATGACAGTGTAAAATGTTTTTGTTTTTATAATGGTTGTGAAACAGGCTCTTTGTGGTACAGGATATTTGAAACGTGTGTAGTTTTGATAGAGGAAAAGCTCTTAGGAAATTGACAAAGTGCCTCGCCTCTTTTTGCAGGTTGCTTCCTTAAAGAATGGCATTTATGTGTGGAGCCTGATTTGTGTTGTTCTCCCCACACCTGTTATTTCTATCCCACTTTCTTAAGGCTTGAAGTCAGCCTACCAGCCTTTCATCCAAATCATGGATGCTTCAAGGACTAATTATCGGTTCACTTATACCTTTTGTTTCATAGTTGTGTAAATTTTGTGAGTAAATAAGTTAGTTCATGTATGTTGTATGGTATGTTTGGTTGCTTTGTTAATTTTGTGTGCAGTATTATTTTATCTTTAATGTAGTCTCATTGGTACTGTTAATTTTAGGTGCACCAAAGTTAGGTGCGTCTTGTGAAAAGCATTTTCCCGGGAGTTATTGGTACATATAAGAGATTTAGTTTTAGCATGCATATATCACTTTTATTTTACTTGAGAAACAATTTGTATTCATACTCTCGTCCAGTTGTACAGTTTCTAAATCGTGCAAAGTATATTAAAATATAGGATGGACTGCTCACTGCTAAATCCGACCAAGATGCGATCTCTCGGTATCAGATGCAATTTTATCCTGTCTGAGGAAACTGTTGTGAACTGTCTTTCCTTTTCTGTGTAGAGTTATATCATTTTTCAAAAATGGTTTATAGATAACTATTATTGTAACCCAGTATTATGAGACTGCTCCGCATGGGGTTGATGTTTTAAGAATTTGTGGACTCATTCTAGTCCAAATTTGTCATCTGATCGTGTTTCTTTGAGAGGAACCAAAGAAAATTTGTAAAGCATGTATTTACTAATACGTCTGCCTTAATCTGTTTGGCACTAAAAATTTTTGTGTACCAAACTTATATGTCAATTTATTGATGTGCAAAATAGTGGTTAAATGAAAATTGTCTACATGTAGTACTGTGGCTAAATGTCTTGTCATACAGCACATATTTTGCATGGAAACCACCCATGCTCAGCTCACTGTCAACTGTCCTATCTGGTGTATGTCTGCTGCTTTGTGCACGATCTGTGTGTAAGTAATTGTCTGTCTTGTGACTTGCATCAGAGCTCATATTTTACATCACTCTGTGATTCGTGATAACTGCTGCCCAACTACTGAGATATGGGTGCCAAACATGTTTCAAAGATAATTGAAAATCATTGTAATTCTTAGCAAAAAAGAAAAATGTTAAAAAACAAAACTGTTTCATAAATTTGTGTTTCATTAGTTTTTCGTGCATTGTAGCTATAGGTTAAGTTATTATATTGAATTTGTTTATAAAGCATTTAAAATCTTTGTTTGCTGTTTGTTGTTATGAAATTTTAACTGTTATGTCATAATAGTGTAAAAAATGAAAAAAAACGGGTTAGCAGTACTGGACTTACTAATATGCTGTTGTGTAGCGTTGCTGTCCACTGTGTTTCTGTGACTTGTGGTCACATCCAGTGCAAGTACTTTTTGTACACATCTTCTATAGTATACTTTTAAAATTACAATCAAATTGATGAATTTTTACTTAATAGTTTGCTGTTCAGTCTTTTACTTGATGATAATTTGTTGTTGATTTTAAAAGATATATATATTTTGGTCATTTAATAGCTCTGTGATAGTGAGGTGAAGTACTTACTCTTAAATCTGGGTTTAGATTTTTTTAGTAAGTCAGTTTTTTGTCAAATACATGATAATGGTTTTTCATGCATTTGAGCAGTCTTGCAACTTTTGTCTGGGTTGTAAAAAAAATTTAAAGAGTGTATTTTATTTTATATTATTATTTTGAGTAGCGGTGTGATTGCAGTTGCTCGGAGGGAGTCATTCGAGCTGCAAAGTAATGCTATCCACTTCTGGCTTGAGAACATATCGTCATAAATATCCAAATTACTGCAGCTATACCTATTAATATAGGAAAATTTATAACATTTTGTTAACTAAAATTTTTTATAATCTTTTGTTAAACAAAGACTTACAAATTATGCTATGGAGTTTGGGAAATTTTCATTAATAAAACAAATAAGTAGTTTCTGCTCTTGCTTTGTCTTTGTCACATTATTGTATACACATCACACTTTAAAATGCCAATGATCATTGATACATTATTTGCTTCCATTTTATTCGTTATAAAAAGTAATGAAATGTACAAGAAGAACCTTCACCCTGTATTTTGTAGCATGGAAGTTTGAATTTACAATCCGAGCAATTATTCTCTTCATGTTATGTGCAATATGACATCATTTTTGGCACAGATTTTGTTAAAAAATTTTACTTTTCAAGAGATGCAAAATAAACTTTTAAGGATTTTAAACCATGTGACACATTTACATATACTTGTACTCCAGATTTAGTTTTTAATCACATAGGAGATAGTTGTGTATGTTCATACTGCCTAATTACTTTCTTGCTGCATAAAACCTTTAATAAGAGATTAGATATTTTTTTATTGGATGGTGCCTTAATTTTAAAATGTGTTTTTTGATATAACACTTAATTATCTTATAAAAAAGATATATTTTTATGTAACCGTAAATAAATGCATGAAAACCTTCTCATATTGAAATTTGTAGTCTTGCAATCTTATCAGTTTTTATTTTGTAATTTAACTCTTCCAACTTGCCAAAATGGATGTCATCCATGTAGGAGGAAAATTTGTCATTTTTGTAATCCTTTCTCTGCTTGTTTTCAAGCACAGAATATAGGATAGAAACACATTTAGCAAGTTGTTAATGTGCTGATTACACAGATCATTATTTCTGACAGATTATTCTGTTACATTACGTTTTCTTAATTTTTGTGTATTTCTTTGATAAAAATGTAAGCTCAATTCATGCAGTAGTTTCATGTGTTTTAGGAAATGATGAAAATTATAATAAATTAAAATATAATTTTCAATGCCTGTGGTAGCAGAATGGTCACATTCAGTCTTATCTCTAATGAGCACACTTCTGATATTTTTGTCTTAGAAACCTGTATACAAGAATTTTGGAGGATCCTTTTTGGAATTAGCAGAGTTAGACTGTGGTTTTTTCATATAAAGTAGAATAAATAAGAGTTCCTGATATGAAAACCAGAAAATTCAAATAACATTGTTTTCATTTCCTTCCCCCCCCCAAAAAAAATTCAGAGTTTTTTTTTAAAAACATTTTGTGTGTTACCTTCATTTATTTATTAAATACATTCTTTGCATTTAAACCATAAAATTCAATTCAACAGCAGTATCACAGCATATCTTCCAACATGCTAGAGATAAAGAAATTTTTTTTCTCCCAGTGTTGCCATTGCATGCTTTGAAATTGTTGAATTTGTTAACCAAAATTCATTAAAGTTTTACAAAATATATATATAGAGAGAGGGAGAGATAATAAAACAAATTGCAAATATAGGCTTCCATATGTCCATATTTAAGTGGAGGACTATGCTATTCAAAATTTGATATGTCTTAAATATTGTTCTTTTTCACAGTGTGAGGAACATATATATGTTCATGCAGATTCTTCATTATTTAATTTCTTTAAATATAATGCACGGCTATAATATTTGGTGGCAACAATTTGAAAAGTAAAATGCTGTTTTATAGTGGATGGCACAAAAGGCCAAAATGAAATTAAGTCCTTCTAGGCAAATTGCTCCTTTGGTCTCCACACAGTCTGAGTTAAAGTTGTAAGAATAAGATCCGCAATTAACAACAAATTTAAAACTGTCTATAATTTTTGTTGTCGTTTTCATAAAGAGAGAGAAAGAAATTCATCACAATCTTCTTGTAAACTGCATCTATTTCATGATAGGATTTTTAGCCATTAATCATAGATTTTTGAATCTTGATAAGACCTTCCAAGATGACAAGGTCTAAAATCTGATGAAAAATAGCTTTTATCATATATGTAAAAAATCAGATTTAAAAAATTTGTTGCATGTCCCCAGTTTAAAATAGTCCATTTAGAAAATTTTAATTTAGCTCTAGCCAATCACTATTCATCCCCACACCCCTAAATCAACTGGAACTGTTTAAAGCTATGGAACTATGCAAAGAAAGGCATAAAGTGAATTTTACGGAGATGTTGCATAGAGAAATTTAATGTGATTTAAATTGGTAAATACTTAAGTATGACTCTTGGGATTGACAACTAATACTAAAAATCAATAGATATTCAATAGCAAAATAAAGATAAATTGAATACTTAAATTTGGCTGGTGATGCAAAATTCTAAGAGGAGAGGGTGGTGCAGATGGGAGCATCCCGATTTCTTCAGCTTTAAACAGTATCTAATATTTATGCTTATGCTGGTTAGAAAGCTAAATCAACTAATGCTGTATAGGCCCTTTATACAACTTACAGTCAGCTGAAACTTGAGACCTTGTTAAAATGTCCTCAGTTTAAAATTGGTTCATTTAGAAAATTTTAATTTAGCTCTAGCCTATCATTATTCAACCCCACACCCCTAAATCAACTAGAACTATGCAATAAAATCGTCAAGAACTCGCTCAAAAGAAAACAAAATATTCTTGTTTCTATCCAGTTATGCTTTGTGGATGCTACAAATGAAATTATTTTTTAAATAATTACAGCAGCTTTTCATAAAAAGTAATTTTTATATTATTTATTTTTGAGAATCAAAATATTTATACCACCAAAACAAAAAGTGACATTTTAGAATGACTAAAGAAAATAAAAATGTTTTATTTTTAATGCTGTTTTAAAGAATACTTGCATAATTTTATAATAGCCTTTTTTTCCCATTTTAATACCTTAACAATGTTATTACATATGTATATAAAAATATATACATAAACTGATCTTAAAGTTGCCAAAATGTCAATAAGTATCAAATTTAGCAATGCATAATAAAAGAATTAATATTTCAAAAAGGGGATTTTTTTTAATATAAATTAAAGAGAAATTCAAATTATAACCCAAATTATACCAAGAGTAAACATATCAAAAATATATTTGGCAGTTTCTGATACCTTTACTAAAATTAAAAATTCATAAAAATTAACTTATGCACAAGATCATAACACAAGAATAGCTCTTTTTCATAGTGAAAGAATTCAAAATGAAAATGAATTTTAAAGTGAAAACTCATAGAATTTGTCATAAATGCATTTTCCCCCCGTTAGTTTCTGAAATCTAAAATTTATACAAAAAATTCCAGTTTACATGAAAAATGCTGATCTAAATATCATTGGAACAGAACTGTTTAATAAGTAAGTGCTGTTTTACCCAGCATGAAACCACCAATTGCTAGAATGAAACAGCTAATATTTTGTAAGTTTGCTGAAAGATGTCAGATTTCAATCAATAATAAGCATGGAAAATTATTGAAAACAATTGAATTCATTCTTAAGTATTTTAAATATAAAGAGTTGGAATTTGCATCTAAAGAATCTTGTCACATCATTATTGTAAAAAAACTTAATGATACCTATCTACAATTTATCAAAATAATGCTGATATCTTTTTTCATACATAAATATACTGAATATGCTAACCATAATTTTTATGACATTTTACTTTTCGAGAATATATCAAATATGTTTTAGTTTTACATGAGCTGAGGTACAGTTGACACTTTAGAGGTGTGAGGTATCAATGGCAAAAACATTCTGTAGAGTTTCAGATCCATTAACAATTGTTGATTTTCCTCAAATTTAACTTGTATTAATGGTTTATTTTAGCATGTACCATATTGTATTATATTCCCACAACAGAGAAATTCTAAGTGCATGCAACATCTGAAATGCTAGCAGTACGAGATATATTGTGGAAAAAAGGGGAGGGACAGTTCTATATTTCCCGTTCTACTGGGCCGATTGGCGAAATTCAACTTGGGATATGTATTAGATTTATATATAGTATTGTTGTAATATAGGTATTTTGACACAAAATCAGACTTTTTCTGAAATGACATGCCAAGTGTTTTCCATATTTCGAAATTTCACTGCCTCATTTAAAACATTTATGCTGTTCATCATAATTGCATCGCCGTGGTATGATGAACTTTGGATCCTGGCCCTCGAAGCTTCATGAAAGAGCCAATAATGGCCCGCGGACTAAAATGTTTGGAGACACCTGCTATAGAGGGATTCAGAAACCAATATTGATACATTTAAATAATATATTTCATGTTTTCTCTTATAATTAATGCATAGTTACAGTTTGCAATTATTTATTTTAATACTTTAAGATATTTAATGCTTGAGTAAAATGGTTCATGTAGACCTTACTTTTGGATTTCTTAATTTTTTTCTTTTTTTACTTTTCAAATAACAGGATTCGTACACATTTCATGGAAATTAAGTATTTTGAAGGACCATTAATGAAAAAAATTGAGAACCTATGGCCAAATATGAAATAAATAAATTAAATTAAAAATGATGCCTGAACTTTACTTTTGTAATACCATCCTAAAAATAAAATAGATCCATAAGTAGGATGCATTATTATTAAACATAACTTAATTTTAACATAATTGTTAGTAAGTTTGAGAATAAAATAAACTTTATGAAATTTATAAAGTAGCATTAAATATTTTACTAAAAATAGTTGGACATATTTGATGAAAGATAAGTGAAATTTTATTTATGTTTTACTAACAGTTTGCTTTATGTTGATTTCTTTTATGTCTCATTTTGTCACCTACTTGCTCAGTCTAGGAATTTCATAAATAGCAAGTATAACCTATGTCAAGCAGCATAGGTTAAAATGAGAAATGATTAATAACATGACTGCCTGTTGTCACCGCTGTGGTTGCTTAGAGAGAGACCTGTTGATCAGAACAAACCTGAAAGGCCTGATGTAGAAGAGTTTTGAAAGTTAGTTGGGCTCTGTCTGGTGCAATCAGTGTTATAGCTTTGTGTAGAGTTTCAGGGCTAGTAACACAGGTTCCAATAAGCCACTAAAGCACCAGAGGTGATAAGTTGTTTAAGTATCACTAGATGCAAAGAATAAGTTTTACATGAATTTTTGTATTTTTCTGTTTTATCTTGTGACCACGGTAAGGATTAATGAAAGACAATAACTCACTTCAATATGCA